TGATGCGAAGAGCTTTCAGCGAGCAAGGCTTCAATTAAAAAAGTGTGTGTACGCTTTACTCTTCACTATACGCTCTCCCCATATATGTAATACTTCCGCCAACATTAGAGTGCAGATATATAATGATAGAACGAGAAAACCAACCAACCAATGTACTCAGAATGACATTTGAAAAGAATAAAAAATCAGGAGCGGAGCAGTAATCGTCAATATTTTAGAAAATTAAATTTTAATTAAAGCCAAAAAAAATTGTGTTTAACTTTTGAGCAAAAAACTAAGAAAAAAGGAATCGTGTTGCACGCATCAGTATGTTATACTATTTACTTAAAAATGAGCCGTATCAGCGAAAACGGGCAGACACGCTACATGCTAAGGTGCTGGAAAGGAAGGCACGGATCTTCTCATCCTATCTTTTAAGAGTGGTTATGGTGATCGCCTCAAGTGTAACTTATACATCTCTTGCTGCTTATTCAAATCCGCCGGTTACCACAAAGCTCGACCCAATCACGTTCAGGGAAAATTTTTTGGTTATTTTATTTTTCTATTTTTTAATTTAAACCGCTCCTGGAGTGACTTGACAGTGGTTTGTTTGTAATAGTCCACAAATATACATTTATACTAACACAAGCACACATTTATTTGATAGGCTGTCTCCCTTTGATTGCGGAATAAAAACACATAGTGAAGATACGTTACTATCAATATAGAAGTATTAGATATATGGCCATCCCATTGAAACATATGCGTTTAAAATCGACGCTTTGCTCGATGCTCTTCGCTCGCCGCTCCACTATGTTTTTGGCCTAAGTATATTGCGAGTAAAGAAATTTTGAATAACATCAGATAATATTATTATGATTATGATTACTAGGGCATGAAAATCTATGCAAATACATTTTTTTTTTGGACTTAGGTAAAGCGAAATAGATTAAGTATCTCTGCGAATCGTGAAATTATCTTAAAAATGGCATTCAAATGTTTCTGCATATTTTGCATATTTTAGTCATAAATGCATATTTCACATTTCTTGCATTTTTTTAGTACATATTTGGCATTATATTGCCTCTTGACGGAAAACTTTACAAATCTGTAGATCTGTGCATATTTTCTCTAGTTGGTAGTTTTACGGATTTTGTAAATTTGTTAGTTGGCAGTTTTACACAAACAATATACACGTAAACCTCCATCTGACGAAGTACGGAGGTTGTGTGAACACGGCTGTCATTTATTTTCGATGTAGTGCGACATCTATTGGCAAACATAAAAGTGTTTCCGGACCACTCTGTAACCCATTAGAAGGCAATTTTTAGTAACAATTTTACTCCAGGGAAAATTTTTAAAGGCAACGCTTGTTAAAAATGTAAGTTCCATTTAGACGTTTTTAATTATTTGAATAATTTCTTAAAATCGTACGTCATTTTAGTTGACCATGCCAAAATCAAAGAGGACTGAAGCAGAAAAATTACGAATATTTTTGAAAGAGCATCAGGATCTCTTCAAGACAGATGGCAGAGTTCTTTTCTGCAAAGCATGCAACAAAGCAATAAGTCATACAACAAAATTTCTGGTAGATCATGATTCAATAATACAAGGTTCGATAAACTGACAGTTGTCTCTCTCGCACCGCTCCCTTAGCAGTGGCACCGTGTTGCTTCTTTGCAAATTTACATGGAAACAGTGTAGCTTTGGTGTGAAATAAAAGTAAAGCTTTTGTGCAATATGTTTATTTGGATATGCATATGAAGCATATTTAACTGATGAAAACATAAGCATTGGATATTTGCATCAATCTCATAGTAGTCTTATTTTAATTTTGAGTCATTTTGCAGTTTTTATACGGCTAAATAGCATATAAATTACGTAATTCACGTAGATATATCAATATTACGTTCAACATTTCGTTTAAAATGCCAGATTTCCTGCAAATACATTAGAATTTACAAAAGGAATTTCACTACTATATGCCTACTTTGCGTACTTTTCTACTACCATTTTCGCAACAAGGGATTGCATTCTTGCCCTTTCTCTGTCCTTCGTAAATGCAACCTTTTGTAAGGGAGTGTCAAACCGCAGCTGTCAATAATTATCTAACCTTGTATTATTGAATCATGCTGGTAGATCAACATTTAAGAAGCCAGAAACACATAGATATGCATAGCCGAAGCGTTGAAAAGTCGTCGCAGTCAATGCTGCCCATTTCCGCAGCGCTTTCGCCAAATAACTTTTGCATGGATTTATGCGAAGCCTTTATTGCTGCCGATATACCTCTAGGAAAGCTAAACAACCCACATCGAAACACTTTTTTAAAGAAATACACAAGCGAAAGGATTCCCTCGGAGTCAGCGTTGAGAAAGACTTACATCGAACAGTTAGAACGAATAAAATCTGCGTTGAAAGGAAATTGTTTGTGGGTGTCAGTAGATTAAACGACTGATATCCAGGGTAGGTTCGTCGTGAATGTTATTGTTGGGGTTCTTCATCAAGATCCGCAATTAAGCGAGAAAAAATTGTTGCTTAATGTTGCAGATCTGGAGAGAACCAATTACGCTTCTATTGCTCGTACCTTTAATGATTCGTTGAAATTACTGGGAGACGATTTCGAAAAGAATAAAATACTGCTTTTCTTGTCTGACGCTGCTCCTTACATGGTTAAGGCAGCAAGAAGTTTAAACATATTTTACCCAAAGCTTTTGCATGTTACATGTTTGGCTCACGCAATCCATCGGGTTGCAGAAGAGATACGAAGTAACTTTAAAGACATTGACTTGCTAGTGTGTAGCGGCAAAAAGATATTTTTAAAAGCTCCATCGCGTGTTCACTTTTTTAAAGAAAAATTTCCTTATGTACCTCTTCCGCCAGAACCCATTATTACCAGATGGGGAACATGGCTGGACGCAACTGGATATTACGTAAAGTATTTTGAAGAGTTTTCAGAAGTGGTCAACGAATTCGACGCCAGAGAGTCGCTTTCGATTAAGAAAGTTCAAGAAACTCTACAGTCAAGCTCAATTAAATCTCAGTTGATTTTTATTCATTCAAATTACGGATTTTTAAGCGAAACCATTACAAAGTTGGAAAAAAAGAATTCACTTAAAACACAAATAAGTTTGATAATCGATGCACAGAAGAAGATTAATGCTATAGAAGGTAATATCGCACAGTTAATTAAAAATAAGTTAGAATTTGTTTTGGAGAAAAATCAAGGATTTAAAAAAATAAAGGAGATTGCGACCTTTTTTGATTTGAGTAATGAAAAAAGTGATTTACAAAATGAATATACTCCAAGCGAACTGGTCGCTTTTAAGCATGCTCCAATTACTTCTGTGGATGTAGAACGTTCGTTTTCTATGTATAAGAGCTTTTTACGACCGAACCGGGAAAGTTTTCTTTTTGAGTCGCTAACTAAAGATTAAGTTAAATTATGTGATGTAGTATTTTAAGACTGCGTTTTACTATACATATATACACCCGTGTATTGCAATGTACTTATTTGCTAAAAGCAAAATTGAATTAAAAATTTTTCGTACCTAATTTTATTTAGCTTTAAAAACTTCAATAAACGTATGAATTAACTGAAGGCTTACATAATGGTTTTAGTGCATTTTTTGAATTTATAAGGCCTTTTTTTGATTCTTCATGCATATTTTTCATACATATTTTTCAGTTTTTTGTTGCATTTTTTAAGCACATATTTCTTATTTTATAGTGCATG